GGACTTTTTCATATCCCGTGAATATTGGTCGGGACATGTCCCTACCGTCCCTACCCAAACCTACGCCCATGCATTGTACTGAACAGGAAGAAACTTCAGCTGTCAACCCTCCTTACAGATGCACAATCTGCAACGGGCGACTAAAAACTGGGACATTTTGCGCAGGGTCTCTGCTGCCATCTAGTGATCAAAACAAGCATCACCAGCGCCTCCTGCCGGATGTTCCATCGACGTCGAACGTTTGACCTTCTTCTCGGCCTGGTGACGTTTGACATCTCATGCAGGTGGTCGCGCGATGGACTTTGCTCCTCACGAACAATGAAATGTCCGTTCTGATCTTTTGAATATCATCACTGTGCAGGTCAGTGTTTATTTCGTCTATGTGGAGCCCTTCCTTCCGAGTGTTGATGGCTCTCTCTATGCCGAGAGAGCCATTCATTCACGCGGTTAGCCACATGCTAGGCTAGCTCCTACCATCCAGGAAGGGAGCTAGGTAGGGTGGACGTGACGAAGGTGACAGAAACGACTTTAAACACGTTGACATACGTCTTTTTTTAATACATGAAGCCCTTATTTAAACTGCAAATACATCATAAAGCCATCAGTAAAAATGGCCCACCGTGCTTTTTTATAGCTTGCTCGGTTTTTATGTGGGTTTTAGCCACCTTGTACCGTTATTCTATAAAACATGAATGAAAAATGTCCGCACAGTCATCACTGACTTGCATACATACACTTAAATCCTGCTTATTCGTAGCAGTTATTTAAACCCGGAAACGGCAGCAGAATGATCTACAAATATGATTACTGTCAACCTTACTCTACTTCTGCTTTATCTGATTATAACTGACTTGTTTTTGTGCTGCAGTTCCACAGAGTACTGCCAGAGTAAACCAAGGGAACAATGGGGAAATACGTTTGCTGCACAGGTTTGCTGAAAAACACCTGGGACCAAGTTTGCATTGCTTTCTGGCAACGTTATCCCAATCCTTACAGGTGAGAAAAAATGTCTTGGTGTAAAAGTGCACGATTATTATTTATGCTGTATAAAATTGTGCAAGTAGAATAGGTCTTTTCATTTGCATACTGCAGAGGTTTGTTAATGGAGATAAATTAATTGATGTACAAACAATCTTATAAGTACACACATAGCTATAGTGTACCTACAACCTTTTTTTTTTGTAATAAAACATAAATTATTCGCCATTTGAAACCATAAGGTGCTATCATGCCAAGCTGAAAAATGCATTATGGGAATTTTCTGATGATACACGGACTTTGAAATGATCAGTCATATTACCACATGAGGCAACAATGTGGGGCATGATAACTTTTCTGACATAACTGTAAAAGCAGTTTATTAATAATTAGAATCGTATTACATAATATGCATACTGCCTTGCCAAGTTCTTCTCACCTTCAATTTGATTTACTGATCTAGCATTTTAGGGTTACTGTAAGTAGTCAACACAGAAATCAAATCAATAAAATCTTTTCATACTAAAATACAACACTAATTTGTTACTTTGAGAGTTTAAAAGTTGTCTGATTTTTAAAATTTTACCGATCCCTTTGGTTTCAGTAACCACGTCTTGACGGAGGACATCATCTTCAGAGAAGTTACTCCGTCCAACTGCCTCATTTCCAGACGTCTGTTGACCAAAACCAGCCGTGCGCCTCGCTGGATGGAGCGGTACCTCCCAAAGCACATGACCAACTCGGCGTACATCATTGAGGACTCCGTCGTAGACCCCCAGAAACGGACCATGACCACTCTGACCTGGAATATCAGCCACGCTCGCCTCATGGTGCGCTCCGGTTTTCATCCAGCACAACTTGGCTTTTGCTCAAAGTCAAAATCTAATTGTGATGATTTTATTTTATTTTTTTCTGCGTGCTGTGCCAGTCTGTGGAGGAGCGCTGTTTATACCAAATGAATCCAGAGAACGGCTCCTGGACGGAGATTAAACGGGAAGCCTGGATCTCTTCCAGTCTCTATGGGCTTTCTAGAGCTATTCAGGTCAGTAAAGTGGGAAGTTGTACCACAGCGCAGAAAGCAGCATGGAGTGGCTGATGGGGAGACCTCCCCACCTGTCTTCTGTTCTGTAGCATCAGCAACATCATGCCAGAGTGAAGATGCGACAGCTGAGCAATTAGTCCAAGTAGTTCCTCATTGTTGCTGTGTTTACGTAAACACACTTTATCTTTTTCCTTTGCTGACTTTGTTCACTTTTCAGGAATTTGGTCTGGCAAGGTTCAAGAACAGCGTCACAAAGACAATGAAAGGCTTTGAGTATGTGCTCTCCAGAATGCAAGGTACATTGTCATTTTAAGAGTTTTATTTTATTTTGTTTTTTCCAGATTTCCCCTAGAGTTGTAGTAAACCTTACAGGTTTATGTTGTTCATTCATGTTTACAAGCATGTAGTTGGGGCATTACATTAATTGTTGCAGATGCAGTTTGTCATCTCAAATCAGAGTTTTTGTTGATCAAGAATGACAGAAAATAACAGTTAATTTTTTGTCATAGAAATGTAAAAAAATAAATGAATTAAATTTCTCAGAATGCTGGGACACCTAGAAGCTATGACGCACCAAATTCTCTGAGTCAGAACAACACGAAGAGGAAGCAATTTAATGCTTGTCTGCCTCTTCAGCAGCTATGCAGACATAGTTGGCAGGAGTATGCTGCTGATCGGCTGTGAGACTTTTTCTCCTTGTTTCTTTTTGAGAACTACGTGGATTTTATTCAAATTGATTGGCGTTTGTGAAACGTGGGATATTTTGACGTGATCTTGCCATACTACGCATTGCTGTGGAAAAAGTGTACGTTTTGAATACCTGCCAGTTTTGCTTTTCACATCAGCTTAAGCTTTACCTCTACGTCCTGAGCACGAGAATGTCGACGCGTTTCACTTAAAGCCGTGCTTTGTGTTTCTGTAGGCGAAACTCCGTCCAGAACCTTGGCGGAGACCGCTACGGAGCGGGCAAGAGAGACGGCACTGGCAGCTAAAGAGAAAGCAAAGGACCTCGCCTCGCATGCTCAGAAGAAACAATACGTATGATGATGCAGCTGCAGCCTTTTATATCGTGACTATTTTACATTCGACCACTCTCATAGCAAACGCAGTTGCTGGGTATTTTGCAACGGATCCCAGTGTTGGTTTAAAAACACCTCTGTGAAGACGCATCCTGCTGAATGTGGTGGTGAGAAGGCCTGAGCTGGGTTCAAGAGCCTGTTCCACCCGCCCTGATTGTGTTTATTGTACCTCCGATGCCACGTCATTTCAGTATTTACCACAGATAGAGATCTTGAGTATGGCCCCCGGGTGCTATAAAAGTAAGGATGATGACCTGTACTGGAAGTGTTCCTTAGGCTTTTGCTCAGCCTCTCCACCCACCAGGATTTGCCTTTATTTTCACTTCACGTCTTGTTTTGTTTCCCTCATGTTCTTTGTTAACTTGGAGCACTACTTTAAAATATCACATCAGTTCTCTGTGATTAATTTGTGTTATTGTATCCCACTTGTTTTGTGTTAGTTCAGTTTACCCAGTTCTACCTTAGTCCCGATGCTGAGACTGGTTCCCTGGCTGCTTCATGCTGAAGTCTGCTAACTTTGCATTGTCGGAGATAAAAGCTCGATAATGTCTCGTCACCTGGCATCTCTGCTGCTGTGTAAGAGCTATACATAAAGACTCCTCTTAACTTGATTGTCACCTCGCTGTATACATTCATGTAGTCCTTGTGACTCTTCTTGCTTAAATGAAGTATCAGCTGGTCAATAAATTGACATTTCCTAATCATATTATAGTTTTCTGTGTCAAGTGAAGCATTGGATAACTTTACCTTAAATGTTATGGTGCCTTTTTGCTGTATTTAATTGGGATTTTATGTGGTAGCACAACACAAAGTAATGTGTCATTATAATATGATTTTCACATTCTTTGCCAAATGGCAGATTTTTTTGTCTTACCACAGATTCTAGGTTAGAGTTAGATCTAGATTTTTAAAAAGCCATTCTAACATTAGTGTGCTTTGATCTAAATCATTTGATTGTAGCTGACTCACTATCATTGTCGCTATGGGAACATCTCAATATAAACACTTTCTGTATTTAAAAGCATAAATACAGAACGTTAAAAGCAGAAGTGGGTAAGAAACGACTGGTTGGGATGAAACGCACAAAGCTACAGTACGTCAAACATTCAGATTTTGGGATTGCAAAACTTATGCTGTCGACAAATTAACCCACCTTTAAATTCCTCCACTACTTTAAGTGGCATCAGTTAAATGGGGCTGAATACAAATGCAGATTACCATAGTATACTAGTTTTGCTTTTGTAGAAAAAATTCTTTGTGTTGCTCTATCACATACAGTCACACTGCAATACACATTGTTTTGTGTATTGCATAAAGGTCTGAATACTTCAACAAGGCTTTGTTCCTAAAGTTCTCAGAGAGAATAGTTTTGGAAAAAAAATATAACATATGAAAGAAATTTATATAGAAAATATTTATTTGCTTAAAAAAAAAAGAAAGCTTACAATGGTACAAAAAAATGCTACATATTACTGGGTGGAAAGACAAACTAAAAGGAATAAGGCATCTTGCATATACAAAAAAGTGAAGAAGAAAGCAACTTCAGTTATTAAATCCATGTTAAATTCTTGTAATCAGCATTAATTGCATAATTATCGCTGGTAGGTGTCGCCTGCTCTGACTGATTTTCAAACGTCCAGCTGAATACTCACGATGGCCAACGCTCCTCCCCAACTTGAACGCTCTCGAGATCCGACCGATCACATAATGCGTCAAAAGTCTTTTGTTTTAAATAGAGATGTAAATGCGTGCCGATATGAAACCTCAATGTGCAAATGTGACTGAGGTTTTTTTTTTTTTCTTCTCTTCCCCCATTTCCTGGTTGTTGATTCCCCCTCCCCACCCCATCTCTTGCCCTACCCATCGTCCTTCTGACAAAACAAGTGCAACGGGTGGACGTTATGTGCAACAGAAGAAAAAGAGCTATAAATACATGAAGGGAACTTACATAGGAGACAAAAAAAGAAGAGGAAAATAAAACAGAAATAATGTTTTAAGTGCATGATAAATGTGACATTGCTGCAATATAGACTTAGTGCTAAGGAGAAGCAGTGTAGAACGTTAGTTTAAATCTGGTTTAAGGCAGAAAGAATTCAGCAGAGACATGAAGGAAATTTGCATTAAAGCCCTTGTTTTGATAAAAACTGGATTCCTAAATGACAGGCTAACACCTCATGGCTTTTAGGAACAAAAATACATAATTGCTTTATCAGAGGAATGCTTATTCATGCTGTAACATCCGTCCCAGTTTAGTGCAATTGAACACATTATTAGCCTGAACTTATTTTGAAAGGACAAACCCCCCACCACCCCACCCAAAAGAAAGCTGTCCCATAAAAAACAAAAGTGTTCGGTTGTCTACAGTATCCACGTCTTCCCTCATCCTCTGTCGTCTCGGTTTTTTTTGGAATGTTTTCTTCCTCCCCTCCCTCTGGCTAAACTCCGTGTCATGGTGGTCATAGCCAGGACCTGTCCAAGCTGGAGTAACTGTGGTCCGCGTCCATGTGTGCAATACCCAGCCCGTCAGAGTCCGCGCAGTCAAACACGATGCTTTCCACGTCCACCTCCACGTCTTCTGTAACGAGGACAGCAGCAGAGACCAAACCCATTAGGAGAGGAAACTCACGGTGAAAGAGCTGAGAACCGGGGCCGCATGATGTTCAACTCGAGCCAAAGAGAGAGTAAAAACAAAGTGTGACATGACAGATTTCGGCTGAGAGCCCCGTCATCCACCCACCTCTGTCTGAGTCCGACCTCTCGGAGGACATGGTGGACCCCTGGCTGTTGTTTCTCATCCTCTCCGTGCCCCTCTGGAGCTGCTCCAGCCGAACCCGCAGCTCCCTCTGCTCCCAGCGAAGGCGGTCCTTCAGCTGCTCGGCACGCTCGTCCTGCTCCTGCAGCTTCTGCAACACGTCGCAGACGAAGGGGAGAGAGGCATTTGAACAAAAAGCTTGGGATACAAAGAGAGAGGAGAGGTCAACACGTGAGGCTTTCTGAGGTACCTTTATGTGAAGCTGAGCTTGTCTCAGCAGGTTCAGGGTGGTGTTCCTCATGGAGTCGGTGGAGAGAGGAACCTGCTTCTTCAGCTGCTCCAAGCACTGCCTCAGCTGAGCTCGTCTGCCGATTACAACAGTCAGCAGTGTCACTTTTTCATATCTCGTCACATTACGACCACAGCGTTCAAAAGGAACCTCTACTGAGTTATGCTACAGACCCAGACAGTGTTATTGTGAAGTGGACGAAGATTCATGTGGTTTTCAGTTTCACTTTGCAAATAATGTGAAGTCTTGCTTTGCATTTGTATACAGTCCACATTACCATGACAACCAAATGGCTTAAGAAGTCAACCCATTAGGAAATTATGTCCCTATGTGATGTGTATTGCAAAGGCTTCTGAGGTTTTCAGACAACACTGCACATGCAAACTCGATGGATACAATGTGATAAAATGTAGTAAACTTCAAATTATAAATGAAGGCAATGTACTGTTATATCTCTCAAGACAACAAAAAGACAAAACAAAATAGCTTTGACCTTTATGATGCAATTTAATTTAGAAAAAGAAAACATACCTGTTTTTCTCCAGCTCGTTGTGAACTGTCCTGCAATTAGAATTAAAAACACACTTTTCTTAATGTCATAAATATGCATAGAAAATGATGAAACAACTTTTAGAGTTAAGGTTTATGGTTCCTTATCATAACTGAAAAGCACACTCGAACTGCCATTGATCTGTTACATAATGTACTTACCTTTTACCGCCAGCAGCAGAAGTCTTCTTGTTCTTCTGTTTGCTTCTTTTATCCGAGTTACCGGGGCTGAGAGGCGGGGGTGAAGCATATCCATGTTCAGCCTCTGCACGGGAGAGGAAGTCCATTACAGGCAAGCGTCAATGTTTATGACGCTGATAAAATTACTGCTACAATGTTATAATGGTGGTTTTCTCATTGTAAATATGTTCGAAGTCCTGGGATTCTGATTAAGTATGTATTATAACAGAAAAAATATTACCCTAACCCAAGCTAAAGCGTTCAAGTTAAATGATGAAAACAATATGAGAACTCATCAGCTGAACGTTTTTTTGTTGTTGTTTTGGCGCCATCCATCCATTAACTATCCCTCACATACAAACCGAGGCTTTTAGATTTAAAGTAGTCTAAATTACAAAATTTAACTAGCATTGACTCAGTTTGCAGAATGCACGATAAATGCAGCTTTCCTGCCCAGTCGGTCTTTTCATTCATCGAGCAGGACTGACGAGCGCCGCCCCGGATTCATTTTCAAACTCGGTGAGATTGGCGCCTTCCAATACAAAGATGCCACCGATATGTAGGTCACTGAGTCAAATGGCACAGATCGGCCACGGTAGCATCTAGCTGAAAATTCCTGTGCAATCTTAAACGAATGCAAACAATGTGATAACTGTATTATTAATCCCGTATGTATTAATAACAGCTGCTCGATGAAGATTGTTTTTTTCCCCCCTTAGCAACAATAACTCCTGCCCCTAGGCTGACTGTTGACATAAAATACCAACCTCGGCCTTTCCTCTCCACGAACTCGGCTGCCCAAAGGAGAACCTGAATGCTGCAAACATTCCCTTCCATTATTGAGCTGGCAAGAGTAAAACAAGCGGAGGTAAACAAACTACAGCGAGACAAGCATCTACTATGAGCGAAGGACTGTCTGTGCAAGCTACGTTCACAGTGCACGGAGAGCCAACAATAGTGCTGCCTTCAAGGACTGAACGTAAACCTCGGAAATTTCCCACTTTCGGCTAATATCAAAAAATAGTTAGCCCATCACAATCCGGTACTGGATTAATAGACTCCTCTTAATTTGAAGGCAATGGCATATGGCCATTCATTTTTGTGCTTAAATTCAAAAATGAAAATGTTATGTATATGGCTCTACCATTTCCAAAAGCATTTGAAGGGGTCGTAATGCCTCGTAAAGCGTCACGGTCAAGCCAGCCACTCCCCTCCGCGAGAGACGTGTAAAACATTTTCACGCGTATTTACGGCAATAATTGTAGTAGTACTGATGTTTTTTTTTTTTTTTTTAAGTTTCTCACATACAGAAATCATACAACTTTACATAATTATCTACTATATAAATCTGTTTCCTACAACAACAACAACAACAATAATAATAATAATAATAATAATAATAATAATAACCTAAAGCAACATGTTTATGGCTATTTTCCAGTTAAACAAAATCTCTTAATCGCCGTATCTGACACATTCGTTCTTTAACCCTTTGAGACACGTTCGGGCTCAAAGGGTAATTATATATTAATCTGATTTAATAATTTATACATGCTTGTGAGAATTATGCTATTGTCATAGATATTAACGATGTTTTCTAATAAAAGAAATTCTCGGAATTAGGGCTGTATTTTCAATTATACTCTAAAGGGGGAAAAAAAAAAGATAATTTTGCCCTTCCTAAACATGGCGATCTCTGGCTTCACCGACTGAATGTTACTGTAAATTCATTCACCGGTTGGAAGTGAAGCCTCCTTGCCAGTAGTATCTTTAACCTCTGAACTCCCGAGTGTGCCAGTCCTCCGCCATATTGACTGTTGTCTTGACTGGAGGAGATAGAGAACATTTTGAGGTCCGAGAAGAAACGAAAGTGTGCTCGTAAAATCCATTGAAACTGGTGCAAACTTGGCCAAAGCGTCCCGCAAACACCACTGTAATGGCGAGGAAGAAAAGCAAGCAACAAGGGGTCGGCCAGAAGGAGCTTGTGCCTGGACAGCAGACCGCACCGAAGAGCTCTGTCTCTCCCGGCGATGCAGCTGGCGGTGGCGGCGGAGGAGATGCTGGGTTGGATAGGCTGGCGAACACCAGGGCGAACCAGGTAGCTAAAAAAGCAACCCATTTGTAAAGACTACCCGGCCTGTGTTCCTTCTCCACTCTGGTAATCCAAACAGAACCCTACTGTTCTTTTTAATTTAATGAACGAAAACCGCTGAGGTAAAATTAAATGCATTCGCTCCGTACTTGAAAGCTATTTCACACTTGATGTACTTGTCGTGGATGTGGAGCTTGATAGCGTTGGATGTGCAGGTCAACAAATAAGCTGAATTAAGGGAGGAGGATCCGGGAGCTCTGCAGCCCATCTCTTGTGTCGGACAGGTGACATTGTACCTCGGACAGGTCGTCCCATTTCCAGCCTTTACAACTCTTCATCCGCCCAGCTAACGTTAGCCTCAAGGCTAGTCAGTGTGCTGCAAACGTGCTTCATCCCTGTGTGCAGGAGCGCTCTGCAAGCACAAGCTAACAGCTTAGCAGCCCACCGGGCTACAGGAGAGAACGGGTTAAAAATTATTTTGCCAAATCTCAGTTATGGTTTTCTTTTTTCCGTCGTGTTTTGTTTTTTATGATCTATTTGGGAGGTGAAAACTTTGACTGTAAATGCATCATTTTGTTAGGTCTTAATGAGCCCGTCATTTGCACCGAGCATCTAAAACGATGTCAAAACCACGATTTGACTCAGATTTATCATTGTTTCTTTTTTAATTAAATTATAAAATATAACTCCAGCTGGTGCGAATTTTGCTGAGTCTGGGTCAGTTCCACTCAAAATTTCAAACAAGCCTTAAAACTATAATATTTATTTATAATCTGTTTTCCCTTTTTGCTACTATAATAAGAAGTAATAACAGTAAAACAGAACATGTTGAACTTTATGTGATTCTTTTAAACAGTAGTATGTAGTTTATTTTTTTTCTTACAAATCATGAAACATTACTTATATTGTGACATAGATGTGACTTGCATCTAGCTGTATATGATTTGTAATCATGTGATTCAGTGTTATACATACACAGAATTGTAGTTGACTTCTGTTGACATTTGTTAATTTATTGATACCCCACAATTATGGTCATCAATGTCTCTCTTTTTTTCTTTTTTACTGAATCAGTGAGTGGAGCTCAGAGAAATGTAATGCTCCAAAAATGTAACCAATCTGAAATACTTCTTATGCCATGAAACTCCACATAGACAGTTCAAAACAAACCGAACATTACATCTCCTTACCGACTATTCTGGTTTCTATTGGTCAAATTCATGTTTAGTAATACAGTTTCAAAGGCTTTTTGATAATCTAAACAGATTCTCGTAAAACCGTGACATTATTCTTAAACTTAATGAATCTGCAGAGTGGTTATAGAGGGTTTCTGAAAGGTTTTAAAAAGTCAAAAAGATCATTCTTAAAGTTTTAGGTTCTGGAAAGTGCACGTATGTCCAGTTAATTCCTAACTTTGTGTCTTCTTTATTAGCGTCTGTTTTTGTTCTGTGATTAGTAGCTCTCGCTGAGGATTTAGTTATTGCTTGTGAAATTGTGTTTCATCTCCTGTGACTAAACTGTGACTCCCATGTTGCAGGGAAGCAATAAACTCGGCTGAAAAAATAATGATTACATAATGTACAGTGCACTGTAGGTCCGGAAGGTAAGGGAACCTAGCCGTAAACAATTTACGTTGACAGTGTTGCATTAATTGTCCACTCGCTTTGTACTCTGAATTTGTATTTTTCAAGTTCTGAGTCAGGAAAACAACCAGAACGCTCCCTAAAGTCAGTCTTTGGACCAGAAAAGCTGGAGCTGATGAAGAAACTCTGAGTTTAATATCTCTCACACAGTTGCCCATATTAACCATTTATTAGCACTTCATTAAACCAGCGCAACACAGTAAAATATCTGTTTGCGAATATGTTCCTTTAGTGTTTTAATACAGGAAGTTGAAAGAAGTAGGCTCGTAGTTGTTGGTGCAAAAAGAAAAGGCAAATCCCTCAGTTTTCCCTCTTGCAACCAGAACCCTCTAACTCAGGTGTGACTCCCTGCTCTGAAATCTGAGACTACTTGAACTCAGATATAACTGGTTGTAATCAACTAAGTAAAATCTGTATTAACTAGTGAGTGTTATTTTTTTTTTCCATGTAATTCTTAGATTTAACTCACAATGGCGTCAGAAAGGTTTCCAGTGATGTTCCATTTAGCCTTTTGAAACACAAAGAAACACTCATTTCATTACTTTTCTAATAAGGCACTCAGTTGTGTTTCTGTTTGTTTTTTTTGTATTTAATCTTCCTTCCAACAATTGTAAATGAAAAAAAAAAGACTTTGCTCCTTACTGGCATCACTCTTTCTTTGCATTATTTAAAATTGCTGGCCAGTGCAGATCATAAAGCCCTACACACTGCAGAGCCCCTGAAGTCTGTCTTGTGATATTAAGCAATAGGATTTAAAATTAACTTGGCAAGTGTGTGACACTATAGGGCTGTTATTAAGCACAATGTTCATTTAAATTGTGGTTCAAATCTTTGAGATGATTTAAAGCAAATAATAATAAACAAGAGGGAAGTATTCAAGTGATAAAACTAACAAAGACTGAGTAGTAGTTAGGTCAAATAAAAAGCAAACAACTCTTCTGATGCTTTGAAGTTTTCTATTTATATTCACCTGTCTTCAAATTGGTTCAACTTCATTACGGCGCCATGTGAAGTCAGGCTGTAATTCCACAGTAACGGTAATCACATTCTTTCTGTCTGTGTCTGCCCAGCCCATGCACACCTGCTGCCTGCTGTGCCATCGAGAATTCAAGGACTGGGGAGCGGGTTCTGTCAACGGGCTTCCCGCCGGCCACGGGACGAAGCTGGCCGACGCGGTGCCTGCACTCTCCCAGGCCTTATTGCGGGAGGCGCCGGGTCGAAAGCTGGCCGACGCGGTGCCCTCGCTGTCCCAGTCCTTGCTGGGAGAGGTGCCTCTGTGGATCTGTCAGAGCTGCTGCAAGAGTGTGGAGGAGGAGGAGAGAAGGAGCACGCAGGAGCAGCCCTCATCGGTACATTAAACAAACAAAAAAAAAAATTCATAAAACGGTTTGGCTCAGGGGAAGTTTTATTCTGCTCCTGTTTTCTTATATTTGGACAATGTGTTTGGTTGTTTTGATTACTAATGCGTGTGGGAGAACCTCTTTTTGTTTTGCTTCATATGGGGATGCAGGTTCTGAAAAATTTGATTTGACTCCCCCCCGCCCCCTCCTAATTGCTGAATGCATTAAAACTAAGAACTTCCATCTTTCTTTGGTCCATGATGCATCACCCAACAGCATGCACTTAAATGCCCTTTTTTCAGCTAACTAACTGATGCATAATTGGGCATAATCAAGTATTTTCTTTTAGTTTTCCACTGGATGCAAAACAACATCTAACATGGAACCTGCAGCACATTTTTTCAGTTTTATTTGTCCTGAGAAAAATAAAAGTGGAATTGCTCTAACTCATAATTAGCTGCTCAGACCTTAAATAAAAACAGATAGTGTTGTGTCAGAAAAAAGTCTAATGTGTGCACTTTCAGTTCAAATTGTAAATATGTTAAACGTTAGAAAAACAAGAAGCGGTCTTTTTTACTGTTTGTTTTTTTCTCATTAAAATAGTTTCAACGCATTTCCAAGCCGTTTGACCTTTATCTCACACTCTTGTCGGGTTCTTTTGCTGCCAAGATTCGAGTCAATAAAAGAAGGCCAGATGAGTAACTAATTGGTGTTCTGTTTTGTGTATTTCTTTCAAACAAGGTACCATTGTCACACTCTTCCTCCTGTAAGTCCCAAAGCTGTGGGAACGGTTACCCGGAGCAAAGTACTGTAGACTGGGACCCGAGTTCCTTCCTGTCAGCCCACAAACTGTCAGGTCTCTGGAACTCGGCCCACTCCAATGGAGGCGAGCACTGCAACC